CAGTCTGTCTAGGCTGAGAGAATATCACCCTTTAGAGAATGGGCTCCAAAAAGCCCATTCATGCACTAGGGTAAATACTGGTTCCACTGCCAAAGATCCCATAGACTGACATCCCCATTCAGGGGGTCTGGTCAGTACTATGCTGGTTTTCCAACTGTCAGACTGGGGTCCATGAGCTCTCACTTGCTCAGGTCAGCTGTTTCTGTGGGTTTCCCCAGCATGGTCTTGACCCCTTTGCTTATCACTCCTCCCTCTCTACAACTGGATTACAGGAGTTTGGCTCAGTGCTTAGCTGTGAATCTCAGCTACTGGATGAAGGCTCTATGATGGCATATAAGCTAGTCATCAGTCTCATTATAAGGGAATGGCATTTAAGGTAGCCTTTCCACTATTGGAAAGGTTTCTCATTAAGCCCATAATGTCTCCCTCTATCAAGGTATCTCTTTCCTTGTCCTTCCCCCAACTCTACCTTCCAGATCCCTCATGCTCTCCCCCTTTCCCCTTCTATCCTTATTTTTCTCCATCTTCCCTCCCCCCTCTTCTCTCCCCTTTCCTATTCTCGGGGGGTCCATGTAAGTCTCCCTTAGGGTTCTCCCTCTTCTATGGGGTTGTGTATTGTAGGCTGGTTATCTTTTGCTTCATTTCTGATATCCACTTATGAGTAAGCACGTATCAGAATTGCCTTTCTGTGACTGAGTTGCCTTCCTCAGTATGGTTTCTTCTAGTTCTATCCATTTGCCTGTAAATTTCAAGATCTCACCCCCCCCCCCCCCCCGCTGAGTAGTACCTCATTTTCTTTATCTATTCTTCAGTTGAGGACTATATCATTGTTTCCAGGTTCTGGCTATTACAAATAATACTACTATAAACATATTTGAACAGATGGCCTTGTGGTATGAGTGTACATCCGTTTGGTATATGCCTAAAAGTGGAATTGCTGGATCTTAAGATAGACTGATTCCCATTTTCCTGAGGAACCGCCATACTGGTTTCCAAAGTGGCTATATGAGTTTGCACTCCTACCAGCAGTGGAGGAATGTTCCCCTTTCTCTACATCCTCTCCAGCATAAACTGTCATTGGTGTTTTTGACTTAACTATTCTGACAGAAGATGGTATCTCCAAGATGTTTTGATTTCTATTTCTCTGATGACTAAGGACATTGAGCAGTTCCTTAAGTGTCTTTTGGCCATTTGAGATTCCTCTGTTGAGAATTCTCTATTTAGATCTGTGCCCATTTTCCATTTTTTAATTGGATTATTCAATGTTTTGTTGACTAGTATCTTGAGTTTTTGTATATTTTGGAGATCAGTCCTCTGGCAGATGTGGGGTTGGTGAAGATCTTTTCCCATTCTGTGGGCTGCCATTTTGTCTTGTAGACTGTTTTTTGCCTTACAGAAACGTATTAGTTTCAGGAGGTCCCATTTCTTAATTGTCAATCTCATTGCCTATGCTACCGGTATTCTGTTCAGGAAGTGGTCACCTGTAATTTTTAAAGTTGTCCCTTCAAAAGATTCATGAGTTTTAAAGACTGATAGTTCAATTTAAAAAATGATCCTAACTCAAAATAACACTCAAAAATCTCTAATGCAAAGAACACCAAAATGGAGTAAGACAAAATTATAATTAATAACCTATAATATGACTTTGTGTGGTAGATCAGGAGGGTTACAAAGTTTGATTTTTGTTCATATGTTTAGAAGTTCCCCAGGGCTTGTGAAAAGATTCTTTGGGTAAACTGTTTGTGTAAAAATGAGAAGTTGAATTTGGATCCCCAGCACCCATGTGAAAACACTGCCCTTCTGTAGTCTCAGTGCTAAGAGGCAGAGACTGATTGAACCCTAGGGCTTACTGGCAAGCCCTTCCAGCTGAAACCGAGAACCTCTGGCCTCAACATATCCTCACAAGAGAGCTCACTGCCCCTTCACACTCCTATAGATTCTATCACAAACACATACACATAGTTCCCCATTTCTTTCATAGATCTTTTGCATCATTTGAATATGAAATAGTTTTTTATTATGTATTATACAAAGGAACAGATTTCATTATAACATTTGCATACATTCATGTAATGTGCTCTGATCATATTTACACACACCTTGTACTCTTCTTCACTCCATTTCCTAAGTATTCCCACTTTTGTATTCATGCCCTTTCCCCCTATAATTCCACATATAAAAAAGGGATGCATGTCTTTTGAGTGTAATTTATTTTTTGGCACAATAATATCAAATTCCAACCATTTTCCTATAGATCACATGACTTGGTTCTTTTTTGTGGCTATTTAAAACCCCAATGTGCATGTATGCTACATTTTTTGTATCTGTGGAATGAATTTTAATGGTAGGAGTCCTATTTTGACTTGTGCTTTCATTATAAAATTTGAAATATCTTTCCATGAATTTTCAAAATTCTATTATAAACTAAATTCTTAGAGGAAATGTGGACACTCCTTTTTTTTATTGGTATATTTGGAAAAGAATTTATTGGCACTATATTTTATTATATTTTTTGCTTTTAGTTTGTTCCACTGTACACATTGTCTATCTTTCAGTACATGAGGCTTTCTTGTTGCAGAATATTTAACTATGCAAAGATACATTTAATTATGTAAAGACATGTTGCTATTTACACTTCCTTGCCAAGGCATCTGATTGGTGTAGTAAAAAGCTGAGTGACCAATAGCAAGGGAAGAGGTATACCTGGACCTTTCAGACAGAGAGAATAGGTAAAAGAAGGAATTTAGGCTAGGGGAGGGTAAGGAGAAAAGAAAAGGAGACCACAGGGAGATGGGCCAGACAGACAGACAGACAGACAGACAGACAGACAGACATTGAAAGTAGGACATACAGAATGAAAGTTAAAAAGCCTCCAAGCAATTCCTTCATGAATAGAAACAGGTTAAGTTAAATTGCTACTGGAACAAGCCTAAGATAAGGCCAAGAATTCATAATTAATAATACGTTTCTATGTCTTTTATTTGGGAGCTGATTGGCAGCCCAAAGAAAATTCCAGCTACACTTTCTCTTTGTACATTTGTATTCAGAAGTTCTATTAGACTATACCATTTTTGTGAAGGGTCCTTGTACATGATATTATACTCTCCAAGTCTAGGCAATGTAAATCTGTACATGCAAAGATACATAGTTTATAATTCCTGCCTGGTCTCATTGTTTACCTGTGTGTGTCAGCTTCTGCTTCCATCAGCTACTAGATGAAGGCTCTAGGATGTCTAGGTAATCCTCAGTCTCACTATTGGGGAAGGGGTACCCTCTCCACTATTACTTACATTGTTAGTTGGGGTCATCATTGTAGATCTCTAGACATTTCCCTAGTGCCAGGTTTCTCTTAAAACCTATAATGGCTCCCTCTATTATGGTATCTCTTTTCTTGTTCTCCTCTATTCTTTTCCTGACTCAATCTTCCTGCTCCCTCATGCCCACCTCTCCCCTCCACTTCCTCCTAACTCCTTCTGTGCTCCACGCATGCTCCCAATTTGCTTGAGAGATCTTGTCCCTTTCCCCTTCTTCAGGGGACCATGTGTGTCACTCTTTGGGTCCTACTTGTTTCCTAGCTTTTCTGGAGAAACCCATAGAAACTGCTGACCGGAACAAAGGGGAGCTCATGGACTCCAGTCTGATAGCTGGGAAGCGAGCATACAGCCCACCCAGATTCCCTGAATGTGATGTTAGCTAGGAGTACTGAGCAGTCTATGGAGCCTCTGCTAGTGGATCAGTATTTATCCCTAGTATAGGAATGGACTTTGGGAGCCCATTCCACATAGAGGGGTACTCCCTCAGCCTAGTCACAAGAGGAAGGGCCTGGGCACTGTTCCAACTAATGTGACAGATTTTGAAGACTCCCCATGGAAGGCCTCACCCTCCCTGGACAGCAGAAAGGGAATAGGATAGGGGTTAGTGGGGGGGAACAGGGAGGGTGTGGGAACAGGGATTGACATGTAAAACAAGTTTGTTCCAAATTTAAATTTAAAACTTATGTAAACAGAAGCAGACACCCACAGCTAAACACTGAGACGAACTGGAATTCAGATGCAGAGAGGGAGAACAAAACCAGGCTACAGAAACCCACAGAGACAGGAGACAGCTGACCTGCACAAGGAGGAGCAGCTAATGGGCCCCCAGACTGATAATTGGGAAACCTGTATTGGACTGACTCAGACCCCCTGAACATGAATGAGTCTCAGAAGGCCTGGGCAATCTAAGGGACCTCTGACAGTGGAACCAGGATGTATCCCTGGTGCACGAAAGGACTTTGGGAGCACATTTCCCATGGAGGGATACTCCCTTAACCTAGAGGCAGGAGGGAGGGCCTAGTCCCTACTCCAAATGACTTGACAGATTTTTGTCGACCCTCCCTGGAAGGTACTACCCTCCATGTGGAGTGGGGGGCAGGAATGGGATGGGAGGGTGTTTGAGGGGGGAATGGGCAGGAGGGAGAGGGACCTGGGATTGATATGTAAAATAAGAATAAATAAATAATGTAAAAAAAGAAACTGTAAAAGAAAAAAAGAATTCCACTTTATGGACTTTGATGTAGTTTATGATTCAATCTAAGCCAGCAGTGTTCCCCAAGAAAGGTTTTTTGAAATCTCTGAAAAGGATAGATGATTTGTTTTTAACTTATCAACCAAGTGTGTATAATGGGTTCTTTGAGCACTCCCACTACTTTCATGTGTGTGTATGTATGTGTACATACATCTGCGTGCATACACAAGTGATTTTGTAAGCTTTATTTTACAAAATTATCTTTAGCTGCTAGTTACTTTTGTGTATTAGTGTAATTTTTCTTTTACTTACCATTCATAGACATTTATTTTTTTGTGTTACATGGTACATTGGTTTTACCTGTATCCTCATTACAGGATTGTAAATTTATTTAACAGAGGAAACATGATTTGCTTAATTACTAATACCCATGATACTAACTTAGTGTCATGAGCAAGACATCAGGATGTTTCTGGTTTTGTTTCTGTTCTCAGATTTGGTGCATTTGACTTGTGTGTCTTCTAAAACAGCAAGAGAAGATTTAGAACACATAGTACAGGAATTGTTTACTCCATATACAGAAATGGAAGCAGGTAAGAAGAAAATAGCTGGTGGAAAGTTAATGTAACATGATATTCTCGTTAAATATCTCATGACCTGAACTGAACCTGAATTAAAGTTCAGTATTGAGCAATTACTCCCACATACTTATTTACTAAGGATTTTGAACACCGTCATTGTATAAACAAGAGAAGAAATGTTCAGTCTTTATTATTAAAGGAAAATAATCACACAGACAAAAAACCCATGGTTATCAAAGTATACATTTATATGCATATATACTCATATGTCCAGGAAAAAGAGAGTACTGTTGGAAAATTTTTCGATTTTGGTAGTGTTACCAGCACTTTTTTATAAGTATATTTGTTTTGCAGGATTTTCATGAAAAAGCATATATTCTTTTCTTACATGGTACTTGTAAATATTTATTTAACATTCAGAAAACTAAAATATTAATTTGCAAGTATATAAATCCCATTAAATAATTACCCATTAAATAATTACCTTTAAATGCTACTTCTATGCCGAATACTTCGTTCTATAAATTACAGTTGTTTCTAACTCATAGTTAAAGAATACTTTTCCAACTTGAATTTTAAAATCATTTCCCCATAACAGAATCCCACTAATAGTTCTGAGTGAAACAAATACCGCATGTAGTATGGTGAACAAAATTGTAGCATGATCACTCTTCTTCATGTATGTAAAGGTAATTTTCATTAAAGCATTTTTGTGTTTACTTGATTCCTTTCACTTTCTTCCATTCTTGCATTGCTATTATCTTTAAATGATACATTTATTTGGAAAACAGCCATTTGTTTTTATTCCTGATGGTTCTATTTATTTTTAGCTCCTATATATTGTCTACTTTCTTAATGCAGAGATGATACTAAGTGAGATATAAACATTTAAGACAAAATGTTTGTAGCTGCTAATGTAATGTAATCTCTTTGTGAAATCTCCAGTTGAAAAAGATCTTTCAATCTAAAAACTTCACTTGAGTTTAATTTTAGTTAGTTCATGTATATTTTTATTTGAATGTTTTATATAAATGTTTGAGTTACTGTTAAAAATTTGTTTAAAAAGTTATAATATACACAACCATATCCCTCAACCTAATGTATTGTCATAGTTGTATCTTTAAGCTTTAATTGCATCTGTATCTTGCTCATAACCATGATTATCATTTTCATTTCCGAAATCTGTCATAGTATCTTTGTTATAATTTCAGTTTATGACTGTGCCAAATAGTACACCTAACACATCATTATTTCTCACTTTCTAAAAGCATTTAATTTTCTGATTTACAAACCCAAGCTGGCGAGAATTACATGTTCACTAACCAGCATCCAGTAACCATTAGATTTTTAAGGTTAATCTTAATGGTTAAAGTGATCCCAGTTTGAAATGATGTATTGTTTGGAACCTAAGTGAAATTCTTTAGCAAGAACTATGCCAGACAGGTCCTCAGGTGCACCCAGGCACTGCAAGGCTAGTTTTCACTGACACATGGGCCTTTTTATCATCAGGATGAGGTAGTGGTCATATTTTAATTAAAATGTCAGAACAAATACTGTTGGAGTTATTGAAAATGAATCACCAGATAAAGTGAGCACTGGGCCATGGCAGGTCAAAGAGGCAAAGTCACCTGCAGAAGAGAACTCAATTCATTTTCCTGCCTAAATGAGGAAGAAGCAACTTCATGAGCAATATGAACTTTTAATACATTAAAACACAATCTTTGTTTGCAAAAGCTTGTGTTTGTACAGGCTTTTGTTACGTTTTGGTTTTTTGACCATCATCTGAAACTTTGTAGTTTAGAGCTTTGTAAATATTTTTGCTGAAACATGTAGCAACAGAATAATATTATGGTCTTTTTGTTTATTTGTTTGTTTTACATTTTACTTTTACATTCTGTATGGTGTTGTGAATCATAACCCTTTATGAAAATTAGCATACTTACCTCACAAGGAAGTTCATTTCATGAAAAGGATGATGTTCTCTTTAACACTATAAGACTGATTGACAGTGTATTTGGGGAATTGTAGTAAGGTTGTGAAGACAATGCCTGTCTTTCTTACCTTTCTGGTTCATGGGTACCAGCCAGAACTCTTCAGACTGTCCCCTCTTTTACCCACCTACCAGGCTCCTTTAAGCACATCAGATATCTCTAAATCCTTGTCTACTTTTTAGTCTAAATAATACCAGGTGATTTATGCATAATGAGCCTAATTCTGATGGTTAAAAACTAAGGTCATTGCTTACAACTCATTTTGTTATTTGGAGTCTAGAATATCCTTGTAAACATTGACAGGTGATTAACTGAGTGATATGTGAGCATCAGTGTAGAACTTTGCTAATTTCTTATTTTACCCAAAAATACAGGATTTTTCTATATGAGGTAAAGCAAGAATTCTGTTAATACGGTACTTTTAAATGTCTAGAATGTAGTATTATCACAACATCATCTTTTTTCTTACCTTACTTTTTTTCCTTTCCATTCTACCTGGTTAGTGGAGTTGCCTCATCCTATTGTTGTCATTTCTATCTCTGAGAGCAATGCTTTTTTAAAAAAATTTCCCTTCACAAATGAAATATGAATTTTGTTCCTGGAAAGGATATTAAATACTTGCTGCACCAGGAAATCAAGTCCCATGTCTTAATTTCTTTTTCTTTTTTATTCACTTTTATGTTCCAGGACTTAAGCAGCTTAACTAAATTCAGCTTAACTGAATTAATTAGTTTACTTGTTCCCTATACATCGCTTGCACCTATAGACACTTCTTGCTTTTATTTGGTTTGCTTTCACTACTTTTCTTTTACCTGCTTTATCCAGTACACTTGTTTAATTAACACAAAATCTTATTCTGTGTCTTCTATTACTTCCTTAGTCTAGCACATCATCTAACTGATTGAAATGAGCTATTGTTTAGCATCTTTAATAGTTTTGACAATTATTTGCTTCAGAGTGCATATTATTTTTCCAGCTCTCTCTCTCTGCCTCCAGCTGACCTCCGAGAAAAATGAAGCAATTACACATCTCTTTGAAGGTTCTAAGGTCAAAGCTTGATGGCTCCCTTGTATCTAGACCATTGATCTTCAGACCATGTCAATCTTCACTTTCAACATAGTTTCTTGTCAAAGTGTTAACCTTTGTGAAATCTCTTCCTAAAATCTGTTGGACTATTCATTTCTCCTGTCGTGTATTGAATGAAAACTCTCCTCTGAGGCAGAGAACATTTATGAGCTACAAAATAGACTCACCTGATATATACCTACTCATGGCCAGGGCCCTACTAAAAATCTTTCACACCTTAGCTCACTTCCTTGCTGTGGTGTTTGATGCTGTCACACTTAGTGGCATTTACCTACAGTATTAGATGCAGGACTCAGGTAGTGTTTTTAAGTAAATTCTCAGAGTTTAGTGAAGCTATAAACACACTTGTCAATTTAATAAAAGCCACATGATTTAATTATGACATAACAGTTTCTTACATTCTTTTGTTACTAAGTAGTTTTTGCTACCTAATATTTCCCTGCATGAATTAGTGGTACCTCCGACTCAAATCTTGGCATCAGTAAGAGATCCCTTGGGGCTAGAGAAAGAAATCAGTGGTTAACAGTGTCTGCTTTGCCTAAGAACTTGGCTTTAATTTCTCTTCTAGCTTCTACATGCACATGGTGCACACACATATATGCAGGCAAGACACCTACCTAGTCACATAAAAGAAATAATTGTGAAAAATTAAAGACTCCTTCTAAATTACTTCTTCCACTCAGTTCCTTATCTTGTTACACTAATAATTATAAATTGTTCAGGACAAACTAGAAAAATGGCATGTTTCCCCTTTCTGCAGTGGAGGTCTTTAAAATTAAATAAAATTTATTTTACCTGGGTCCTAGGACAGTTGTATTAAATGAATGGCATATTTAGTTGAAAATTGTTCTACATTGTTTACTAATTTCATAAAAAAGCAATAATTGGATAACTGTACCTTTAGCATTTTCTTTATGATTTACACTGCATCTCACAGTGTTGGACTATTTTCCTAAACATTCTTTATTATCATTTTACAGAATTTGACCTTTTAGTAGAGTTGGGCTAGAGAAAACTATAGTCAATACATATATTAACAGTAATATTTTCTGTTTTCAACCAAAGAAACTTTAATTATAACATTTAAAAAAAAGAAAAGAACAATGATCATTATTATATTAAGAAATAGGCTATAGAAATTGAGGTTAACAAGACTGGACCTTTCTATAAAGTCTTTTTGTTTTGATTATTGAGAATGATACTAAAATCAATTAACAAATTATTTGTGTGCTAGGCCCTGCATTAGGAGAAAATTTTAAAACAGGGGAATCAGGACTGAGTCTACTCCATCTTTATGTCCCCAGATCGTGAGTGGTTGCCTAACATACATAATGGATGCCTGCTGTTTAATGAGAGAACTTGTACTGGAAATGACATTCAACCTATTGGCCTCATATTTTGCTAATTGTTTTTTGTTTGTTTGTTCCCATTAACCCTGTAATCCAATAACATAAAGCATTAGAGTAAGAGTTAGAATATATCATTTTAAATTCTGTAAATAGTATTTTCAGTGATATTATTCATATGCTGCAAAATTTTCACATTTCAGGTAAAACACCAAGTTTTAAAACATATATTCACAAAATTGTCTAAGCATGTCTAGAAACAACTATAAAACATTCTGTTTCTGTCCTCTGACAAAGAAACTTGATATCCATAAATAGCCACCTGACCTTTGTCCCCAATTCCCCCTCCCTGATTTCTTTTTTCCCCACCCCCTCCCTGATTTCTAAGTACCCATTAATTCCTATCTGTTTTTCTTTTGTTTTTCTGAATAATGTTATTTTATATAATTATCTCATATGTATATACTATTAATTAACTATATAACATTAAGTTGTTTTTCTGTGTGAAATTTGATTTATGGTATATCTTCACTTAGGGGAGATAATTTTAGGGTGGGTATGATTATAAGAATTTTAATATTTTGTTACATTAATTTATTTGTTTGTATGTGCATGTGCACACACACTGTACATTTGTTCAGGACAGCCAGGATTTGTTTCTCTCCTTCTGTCATGTGAGTTCCAGTGAGTGCACACCAGCCTTCAGGCTTGGTAACCAGTGTTTTAACTTGCTGGGCCATCTTGCCAACCTTCAAATGAATTTCTAAAATCTAACTTGTACTGAATGGAAAAGCTTTCATTGTTTGAAATGCCATATACTTACCTTAGAATTTGTGTTTTATATATAATTGCTTATATATAAAAGTATCCTATCTATTATAATGTCTAATCATTTTATTATGTGGCTATATAGTATAGTAAATTATGGTTTTCAATGTGATAAAATTTATTTCAACTACTAGAAAATGAGCACGTTGAAAAGCCAAGGATTCTATGGGCACTGTACTTCAATATGAGAGATTCTTCAGATATCAGCAGAGATTGTTATAATGATTTACCATCCAATGTTTATGTGTGCTCTGGCCCAGACTCTGGTCTAGGAAATAACAATGCAGTCAAACAGGTAAGCCATTGGTGTTTCTTTGTTTTGTTTTAGGAAATTGATATACTGGGATAAGTGAAAGGTTTTTATCATCCTTGGAGAAGAGAAAGGAAGATAGTAAAACATCTTTCTTATTTAATATTGATTGGCTTTTTTCTGTGAGTGCTACTTTAAATATACTTTATCAGCTGTTTTACTCCTTGAATTATATAAGGAATTATAAAGGCTTATTATAAGTACTACTTTTGGAATAAATAATGAATATGTTAGAAATATATATTCCTAAAATGAATTTAAGATGCTAGTATTCTTAAATATTTCTCCTAATATAAACAGTTGAATTATTGATGCATATTTTAAAAAAATGTTATTCTCCAACAACCTGAGCCATTTCCAGAAGGGTAGAACTAGTAAAGTATGTAAGATAAGATAATTTTACAATAAGATTAGAATGAATTTCATAATCTTGAAAAAATTAATAAGGTTATTTTATATAATTAACATAGTACCATTAATGTTTTGACTCAAACTAGTGCCCCCCAAAACTGTTGTTATAATTGCCAAGAAATATGTTATATCAAAGTGGGCTAGTCTTGGTAGAGCTGTGCAGAAGTACACACTTCTTCAAGGTGCCAAAGGTACACTCTGATTCTATTAAGCAGGGTTTTCTTGTTTGGTTGGTTTTGGTTTTTTGTTGTTTTGTTTTGTTTTTTGTTTTTTTTGGCCCATCCATCTTTGAATCAACAAGTAGATAATATTGTTTTAGTTTTTAGTAAATTTTGTTTAGAATGTATTCTAAATACTTTTCATCTATACAAACTACCAATCTCTTTTCCCTATTTATCAGTTTTTGATTTTGTTTAATGCCCTCACATAGTTTAATAAAGGCCAAGTATGTGACTCTAAGTTTGAAACTCACTGTAAGGGCCTGGACTAGTGAATATGCAACTGATACTCTGCATCACCAGTCCTAGAATCTATTGGTTACCAATAAATCAGCAGTAAGCTGTAGATCACCTTGAGTCCCATCTCCTTCCGTACCTGACAATTTTAAGAGCCCAGTGAACACAGCTGCTGTGAGTTCATGGTTGCCGTAGCTATATCTTTCTTACTTACAAGATGGTATTTCACATCTTTTTTCTACCCCCTTGTCTGCAGTTCCCTGAGCCTTATGGAGGCATGGAAGGGGTAACTGTAAGACCACAGAAGACATGGATTCAGTTCTATTCTCACAAGTAGCAGTGTTTTTTTAGTACTAAGTGGTCTTTGAATCTTTAAAATACCTTTTAGTTAAAGCAGTGATGTTATAAACAGTGATCCAGCCTTTTACCGTAATTTTATATTTCAGCATTAGAGTCTAATATTGGTCATGGAAAATTATGCTAGTCCCTGAATATTGTCAGATGAACATGGAATTACAACTCCTACCCATAGCTCAAGATTTGCATTTATGGCTTAAGCTAATCATTTCATTTTTACTGTAGTGACCCATTTTTTTTTTAAGAAGGAATTTTCAAAAAACCTTTAGCCGATTAACTTAGGTTGGTATTTTTGTCCTGAGTAAACAAAACATTTTTTAAATCAAAATAGGATTTTAAAATAAGGACTTACAATATGAATGCTTTTGTGAGCTATACTGCATACTAGAAGATTACAACTAAGGGACAGCTTTTTTTCATGCAGTAATTTACTTCACAAAAAGGTAACTTTTATAGATTATATGAAATATAGTAAAGAAAACAGCATTAATGTTTGAATACTCATTAATATGTTATGTCTTATATCCACTTGAAAAATATGCCTTCTTTAAAGAACATCAATAATATTTATAAATTACCAATTTATTCAAAATTGAGCTCTTATTCCAGTATATCATCATGTGATTATCTCTGTCACCTATTGGCTGCTTTGTTTTCTAAATAAGGAAATTATTAATGAAATCCCTCAGAATATTATCATGGCTTTGCCTACGTAAAATACACAGGTCCCTGCATAATTGTAACGTGTTTCTTTTTCAACTAAAAGTCTGCATTGTAGCATTTGGAAATGTCATACCTTTTTTTGTTACTGCATAGAGATTGAATTTCTAGCTCTGACTTTCTTGTATGTGTATGTGACAGTTTATGACTTTAAGATGTCCTGATGACTTAGACACTAGTCATACTACTTGATCTGGCTTTAGAAGCCATCAGTTCAGTCATTGTGTAGTGACAATGAAAACTTTGTGTGGTGTGGCATGATAGATACGGAGCATGTCCCATTCAGATCAAAGACAAACAGTATAGATGGCAAGAATAAATCTTGACCTGCACATGATGTAAACATTGTGTTTAAGAAAATGTAAATAACCACCTCTTAGAGAAGCAAAGTTTATGAGAGCTGGAGGTTGAAAGAACTGATAGAAGGTCAGACTAGAGAAGGTAGGCTGGAAGATTTTATAATGTAATACTTAGGACCGTCAATTCTATCTTCTCAATAATGAGGTGGCTTTAATCTGGAAAGTGGCATAAAGTGAATTTTTTGTTTTCCATAAACACCATTGAGAGTGGCATAAAGATGGATTATGATAAGAGGCAGGGTCCTTGAGGAAAGATGACTACTCTAGTTTACAAACTGTCTCTTTGACAGATGGTGCATGCAGGAACATTATCAGTGGGAAAAGAACAGAGTTTAAGAAACAGAAAATGACATTCCCATGATTTGGCAACTGTTTGTATGAGGAAGTAATGGGAAAGGAGAACTTCTACAGACAGAATAGAAATACACGACAAAAGGCCATCAGGGAAAACTGAGGTCTGAGGCAGGAGAGGCCATAATTTCAGTCTTCAACCCTCTAGAACAGTAGCCAGGATTCTCTAGCAGAATCATGTGGTGAATTCCCAGGGTAAAGAGCAAAGTAAGCCTCTCTGATATTTAATTTAATATTTTCATAGTAGACAGTACAAAGTTAACATGGTCACTATGCAGCATTTTAGATCCATAGCAATTAGTCATCTGGCATTAAAAGTTTATAGTGTCTGATAACTATCTCCTTTTGCCCTCACTTCATACTTCCTAACCATTGTTTCTATGATTTACATATATATTTCCCATATATGTAAAATCATATAGTATTGATCTTTCTGTACCTGGCTTTACCACTTAGTGCATTTCAGGTAATATTGTCATAAATGAGAGGATTGATTTATTTTATTTTATTAGAGATCAGATGAAAAATGTTCTAACTGCAAGCATCCACAATGGTAGCCATGAATGTTTTTATTTATTTATTTTTTATTACTTACAAGTGCCTGGCCTTAACTTGGCTTATTTCTTTTTTTTCCCCTTATTTTACATATTAATCCCAGTTCCCTGTGATTCCCATACTCCCATGCCCAACGACCACCCCCATCCCAACCCATCCGATTCCCCACCCACTCCACCGGGAGGGTAAGGCCTTCCATGAGGGATCAACAAAATCTGTCAAGTCATTTGGAGTAGGGCCTAAGCCCTCCCTCCTGACTCTAGGGTAAGGGAGTATCCCTCCATTGGGAATGTGCTCACAAAGTCATTTCAAGCACCAGTGATATATCCTGGTTCCACTGTCAGAGGTCCTGTAGACTGCCCAGGCCTTCTAAGTGAGAGCCATGTTCAGGGGATCTGGATGGATCCAATGATGGTTTCTCAGCTATCAGTCTGGGGTCCATGAGCTCCCATTTGTTCAGGTCAGGTGTCTCTGTGGGTTTCTGCAGCTGCTCTTGACCCCTTGCTCATCACTCCTCCCTGTCTGCAGCTTGATTCCAGGAGTCCGGCTCAGTGCTTAGCTGTGGGTGCCTGCTTCTGATTCCATCAGCTACTAGATGAGGGCTTTAGAATGGCATATAAGTTAGTTATCAATCTCATTATCAGTGAAGGGCATTTAAGGTAGTCTCTCTGCTATTGCTTATATTGTTAGTTGGAGTCATCCTTGTAGATCTCTGAACATTTCTCTAGTGTCAGTTTTCTCTTCAAACCTATAATGGCTCCCTCTATTATGTTTTTTTTTTTTTCTTGCTATTGTCTATTTGTTCCCCGACTTAATCTTCCTGGTCCCTCATGATCTCCTCTCCCCTCCTCTTCTCCCATTCTCTTTCTCCTAACTCCCTCTCCACTCACTGCCCCCCCAACTCTCAATATGCTCAGGAGATCTTGTTCCTTTCCCATTCTTGGGGTGGGGGGGGGACCTTGTATGACTCTCTTAGAGTTTGTGGCAATTGTAAAAGGTGATGTTTCTCTGATTCTTTCTCAGCCCTTTTATCATCTGTATATAATAGGGATACTGATTTTGTGTGTGTGTGTGTGTGTGTGTGTGTGTGTGTGTGTGTGTGTGTGTGTGTGCGCGCGCACACACGCGCGCGCATGCATGCATTTGTGCCTGTGCATGTTAATCTTTTGTCCTGAAGGTGTTTATCAGCTGTAAGAGTTCCCTGGTAGAGTTTTTCAGATCACTTACATAAACTATCATATCATCGGAAAATAGTGACAGTTTGACTTCTTCCTTTCCACTTTTTATCCCCGTGATCTCCTTTTGTTGTTTTATTGCTCTAGCTAAAACTCCAAGTACAGTATTGAAGAGATATGGAGAGGGTGTACTGCTTTGTCTTCTTCCTGATTTTAGAGGAATCACATTAAGTTTCTCTCCATTTACTTTGATATTGGCTATTAGTGTGCTATATGTTTAGTTATGTTCCTGTTATCCTTGATCTCTCCAAGACCTTTATCATGAAGGGGTGTTGAATTTTGTCAAAGGCTTTTTCAGCACATATATTTTAAGCTGATGTACAAAAGCTAATTGGTCCTTTCATCGTTGGTTAGGCAGAAACACTTTTCCAGCAAATCTGTCCAAATGAAGACTTCTGTCCAGCCCCTCCAAATCCTGAAGATATTGTCCTTGATGGAGATAGCTCACAACAAGAAGCATCAGAATCCAGTGTCATACCGGAGGCCAACTCAGAGACTCCCAAGGAATGTACAGACTTCAGAAACCCAGAGGAGCCCTCTGAGTAGTATATATGCATCAGATTTCATAGCCTAATTTGAAAATTCCTCCTGGATTCATAGTCTTCTTGATGAAAGAACTCTTTTAGTAAGCAACAACCAGTAAGCAAAATGACAATAAGAAATGATTCCCAGACATCTAAAGGGGAATTTTCAAAAAAGACATTTCCAGAAACAAAACACACTTCAAAAGCACATTGACTTGTTTGTTTAAAGACAGCAAACTTGTAAGATTAGCAGTAAATGGACTAATTCCTGGGAATGTAGTTCTGATGTCAAAGGGATCCTATGCATTGTTAGTAATTATGTGGTGTTCACATAAATTTCTTCGCCACTTGGGGTCTGTTTTTGTTGAAAGTCACATCTGGAGAATTTGAATTATATTTCGATTCTGGGTGTGCTATAACAGATAAAAGCATATGAAAACACATAATCTGACCACTAGCCTATATCTGGAGTAAAAGTTATTTTTATTTTCTGAGTTAAAAACTAAAATTTTTAATACTAACGTGTTTAGATGTTTTGTCAGTCATGATTTGTTAGTTATTAATGATTTGGGTGTAATATTATACACACTGGCTAAAGTTCAAAGATGATGAAATAGAAGAATGGAAGCAAACATTTGGACAAGAATCCATGGTCCTTTTTAATTCTGAGTCAGGGTAACTGAAGCACTAACCTTGTTCACAGGACTAATTTGACATTAGACAAATTGTTTTAACTTATCTTCACTTTCTCCAGATCTAAAGTGGAATACTATGCCTACTCTATCAGAGTAGTTATGAAGATAATTGCAGTACCATCCTTAGAATGGTTCTTCTGGAAATATGCTGTTTTGGAACTTTAGCATTGATTGAACTCTGGATAAATATCAAACCAACCTCATAATCACAATGTTATATTTATTATGTTAAATTTTTTTAAAATGCAAATCTGTTTCCTAAACTAGTTAGTAACAAATGTAATGTGGTTTTTAAAGACTTAGAAATACTTTATAAATTCATATTCCTCTTCTGGCAACTAAACCTTAAACCATCAAGAACTGAACACAGTACAATATGACAGTTAATAAACTGCAATACACACTTTACATGAAAACACGAGGGCTATACTTTGGCAGCAAACGTATTTGCAATGCCTACATTTAAATTTATCCAAGCTCTGTTGGTCTACTTTCTTTGAGCAATAGTTTGTACCTAGAACTGCCTGTAAATAAATAAACAATAAATAAACCCAATACTTCCTTCCTGGGAGGCATGGCTCCATGTGCAGCTGGTTCCTGGCCAGGCCAGGTTTCAAAGATCTCAAAGGAAGCTCCCAGCACAGACTCTTGAGAAATGGAAATATCCAAGGAATGTTGCTCTTGCTGACCCTTACAGATTGAATTGAATTGAGAAAAAAAAAAAAAAAAAAGAATAAACATCCAGACTCCCGAGCTGCTCGTCTCAGGCTGCCTACCCCTCCCACTGTACAGCCCTCTCCTCTGTAGTACCCTTTCACTTTTATAAGGTCATACAAATCAGGGACAGAATCACAATATAACCTACTTTGTCACAAAGCTTCAGCTATTAAGTCAGTTGTTTCCTGAAGCCCAAACAGGGCATGCACACCTGTACTGTACCAGGTATCTCCATGCCAGCAATGGGGAAGTTTCTCTCAAATGAGAATATTAAGTTGGAATACAATCACAGTGAAGTTGCACCAATATAAATGTTATACTGTCTTATAATCTAGAGTTAAGGCTTGCTAAAAGCAGCATACACATTTATCTAAGTAGATAGGCTTAGAATAACTAGAAACTTTTGGACACTACAGCTATGTAAATTATAGTACAACAACAACAACTATTCTTTGCTTTCATGGCCTAGCTCATACTGTATCTTTTTTCATTCCTTTGATGTCATCACAAAACTTGATCTTCCAGGTCATTTACTAAATATGTTGTTGAAATGCTTAAAGCTTCTGACTATGATTAATAATAGTTAAAATGCAATGATTCTGTTGTTAAAAATTATAGGCAGTTCTGCCTAATTCCTGTTGTCTCAGAATGCAATACTAAACAATTTAAGAGCTTTTTTTGTATATTCTTAATAACTACAAGTAAATACTTGATTTTACTGTTTTAAGTTCAAAACAATACCAACAACAAACATTAAGATAGTAAATAAAATTGCTGTTTTACATAATGCAAATATTTCAGTAATTTAAAATTCATAAGTTGCTGTTATCAAAGAATTTTTACTTGTATGCTCAACATATTTAAATATGCATGCCTGTTTCTCAGTAACCAAAAATCATATCATTAATTTAAGTGATTGATATAGGAGCCAATAACTAATCCTATGTTGCTTTTGTATATCTTTTCTAGTTGGTGTGCCTGCCCAAGAAAGCGTAAATAATAGATGTCACTTTATATTTTTCTATAGTAAGATGGGTAACTTCTAGAATAGTGGAAATTTCTAAAATAATATCCACAATTATAAGGTTAATTGTTGACAATTATTAATTTCTGCCAAGATTGTTTCTAGATTTTTCTGTTTTAAATTTTCTTTGCTGGTTCCTAAATGTTAGCTGTCATTTACAAGAATTAAAACCATTTTCTTGCCAATTACTTAAGTGTTGTTATTGGTATTTGTCTTTTGCACAGTAAACTTTCTTATATGTATTTTTAAAAGCATGAATATTTGCACACTGTAATGGGGAATTTTCATAGGAAATAAAGACTTCATTGCCTTTCCACTGTAATGGCCTATTTTCTTATATTTGAATTTTGTGTATAGGGATAGAGATGCAGCTGAATGATGTAGAGTTTGCTTAGCAGTGTCCCTACTAGAATTTCAAGTGTAGATAGTCTGGTGTCTAGCACTCCCACTCATCATAGAAGGTTTCCTTAGCTTATAGTCAGTTCTGTATATGTTTAATTATAACTTAATATGTATTCTTTAATAAGACTGACAAATTAATGTGTATTGAGTAGTATAAAACACTAATTCTAAACACCACTTTTAAAATATAAATGTTGTGGGGGGTGACGCATGCCTTTAATCCCAACACTCACCAGAGACAGGTGGATCTCTGTGAGTTTGAGGCCAGCCTGGTTTCCACAGTGTTCCAGGTCAGCCAGAGCTACACAGAAATTCTGTCTTGAAAAACATATATCAACAACTGAAAAGATTGACTTGGATCTGGGTTAGTTTTCTGCTCTTATACTGTTATTAAATAGTTGTCAGCTATGTGTTTTGTTTAATTTGCAGGCATCTATCTACCCACCATGGCAAATTTGTATGACATACTGTCAAACTTTTAATGGCTTTGGTTGACTTGGCAAAATGTTCTGGATACCAATATTAATGTCACTATCAAGCAAAAGCAGATGATAGTTTGTCCTGAGATCAGTGTTAAAGAGACTGTGAGGCATAAGCTATAACTTACAGCACATTGATCACCTACAACTTGCTCTCACAGCTTAGAGGAACAGATTCCAAAAGATTTTTTTGTTTTGTATTTTTTTTTTCATGTTTGGTGATTAAAACTGAAAATGCTTTTCTCTTAGGTATTTTGGTCTCTAACAGCTTATTTGCAGTAGGAAAAATAATTGCTTTTGTTCTTTGTATGCAGAAATAATTCATTAAGCTATGTTTTTTCTTGAATGAAATAATCAAGAATATTGATATTTTCTGTCAATTTTAAATAGTTCATGATGCTCAGAATGTATTCAAACGCTAACCAGAACTCTTGCAAAACTGGCAATTTATCTGTGAAATTATTAATAAATCAAGTCTTTGAAACCTAAAGTTGATTGAATTTTTTAATCAAGCACCTTGGAGCTCATAGAGTATTAACACTCTTAAAAAGTGCTCTGATATGTTTGAATTCTCTTTAATGATAGCCGTTTAAAACACCAAGCACTTTAACTCTTGGCTTTCCAAGTTACATTTTTTATTAATTTTTTTATTTAAATTAAAAATAATCTTACTTTTCCTACCAATCCCAGTTCCCTCTCACACATCCCTCATCTCCCCATTCCACCACCCATGCACTCTTCAAGGAGTGATGAGCAAAGGGGTCAAGACCATGTTGGGGAAACAAACAGAAATAGCTGACCTGACCAAGAGGGAGCTCATAAACTCCAGACTGACAACTGAGGAACCTGCATAAAACTGAACTAGGAGCTCTGAATGTGGGTGTCAGTTGGGGGATTGGGCAATCTATGGGGCCGCTGATAGTGAAACCAGTATTTAACCCTAATGTATGAACTGGCTTTTTGGAGCCTATTCCATATGGAGGGATACTCTGTCAACCTAGGTACAGGGCCTGGTCCTGCCCCAAATGATGTAACAGACTTTGATGGTCCTCACCAAGTTACATTTTGAGAGCCGTGTTCTTTCCATTAATGCACTTTTACTATGGATTCCAATGAGAAGTCCTTCCCCTGCAAGTTGCTATGTCTGTGTATCTGGTGATGAGGACTCAGGATCATTTAACAGGCAGTCAGTCATTAGAATTTGAATCCTACTAGACTGTAGGTTCTTTTTTGCTGATCGCTGGAAGATTTACTCTGGTAACTCCTATCAATGCTATGAAGTGGACAATTGAATCCTAAAAGAAACTCAGCTAGTGGTATACACTGTTGCTAATTGAGAAGCAGCACTGAGTAGCTCTAGTCTGGGTTTTCTTGTGTGGTAGAAAAGCATCAGTGTGCCAGGTAAGCAGAAGATTGTTGGTAAAACTTAAAATCATCTTGATTTTCTATTTCCATTTAATATAATAGAAACTTGGTCTTCTAAGGACTACCAATGTAAGATTTTCTTTTATAAGAAGAAACTTTTATTTTTGTTGGCTGGTTTTTTGTTGGTTATTATTTTAGGCAAGATCTCATTATGTATCTCTAGATGGCCTGGAACACGGTATTTACACAAGACTGGCCTCAAATTCAGAAATCCACATGTCTCTGCCCCTTCAATGCTGTGATTAAAGACGTGCACCATAGTAAACTTTTTAAGGTTTTTGTTTTTGAGAAGTTC